CTGCCGCAGTGCAATGTACACCTGATCATTTTGGATGAAGTTGGTCTTTGCCTTGTAATGGTTGAAATCATTCAGAAAAATAACAGTCTATTGTCAATGAAATATTTTTTTAAAAGGCTCAACATATTCCAAAATTAGAAGGGTGCTAGGCTAGATATAGTCTAACAACTATAGAGGGTTCCTATTTACCTTTCAGCTAAATTGTCAATGTTGTTTTCTGGACAATTCACATTATTCAGATGATAGTTAAAAACTTGTAAGTCATTAAATAATAAGACTCATTTATATAAGGGGAAATATCTGACAGCCCATTACTGCAGTGAAGAGTGTAATAATTCTGGGTTATGTATAGTTCAATTTGCAGACAGAAAAGAATGGTTCTTTAAGAAAGGTTCATTTCTTTTGAAAATTCCCCGGGGCCCTGGCTCTATCTTTCCTTTTGAGCACACGAGTGCACCAGTACACACACACACACACACACTCAGGTGTGCTTTTAAAAAAGTCCCCTCACATTATTAGTGTTCCATGTCATTTTTAGCAGGGGGAAGGTACAGGAAGGAAATGTCCAGCCATGAAGATGTGGTATTTACTTGGACCATGTCATTAACGTTTGCAATTTGTCGAGTGGTTTCCATGTTTCCCAAAGGTTTTCACCCCGTAAAAGCTGATGGATGGGCTGACAGAGCCTTCCAGGCTTCGGTTGTGCAATGTGAGCTCAGTGCAGGGAAACATTAAAACAGCAATTTTCTGAGAGATTTACCTGCAGAAGAGCCAAGAACATAAAAGCCTTTTCAGTTTCCCACCCTAAGCCTCTTCTTTCCTCTTGGTCCCGGGAGGAGTTAGGGAAGACTGTATTCTGTCAGGTTAATTGAGGGTGACATTAAATGTAATCTCAGCAGCAGCCGCCGTGATGGCTGGCAGGGAAAGACCAGTGGACCAGGTGGAGGCTTCGTGTCGGGGACAACAGCAGCAGAGGCTGCAGGGGCTGGAAAATGTCAGATCTTTTCTCTTGAATGCTGGATGGTGGCATCTAGTTGACATTTGACAAGTAAGGATTCTGGCTCCAGCAGTGGCTGTGAACCGAGAAAAGCCTTCTCCTCCATTGAGTCCATCAGAGCTAGGCCAGACTGTCAAAAATGCATGTTGGCACATGCATTCTCCACAACATGCATGCTCAGAGGGCTGCACCTGGGAACTGGTCTTTTTATGTCACAAGAGCAAGGGGAGATGTGAGTGCTGGACTCAGTGCCCTAATGAGAGCTTCAGGGTAAGGTCTGGACTGAAGTGATGTTGGGGGGCTGTCATTGGGATCTGGGTTCCCCAAATTGGGTATGAATCATGATCAATTAACCTTAACCTTGAAGAAGCCCAGATTCAGGGTGCCTCATCCCAAATCCACTGCCCGTCAGATACTTTCTTTAAAATGCATAGGACTATGTCAATTCTGCCTTCTGTTGCCATTTTTTCTTTGGCAAACTAAACTGTTGCATGTAGTATTTTATATTCATGTTCACACGGTAATCCTTACTTTTTCTAAATGTTAACCATAAACTTAAAATAAGCTATCTGATGGCTTAAGAAAATAATGATGAAGCAGTTTATTTTAATGGAACTTTGGTTTTAAATAATAGATCAGACCTTACCCTGAAAGGCCCTAGTTTTTCAGGGTTTAAAAATCATAACCCCTAAACTCAGGGTCAATGTATATGGCAACGTGGCTGATAACCTAATGAAGAAATTCCCTATGGGGGACCGGATATCACTAAACAAGAAGAGAGGAACCCCTCAATCTCCTCCTGACACCCAAAAGAGCCATTAGGCTCTTTGCCCAGAAGGTATGAAGTCCTCTTACCTTGGGACAGGGTTAGGAGCCTTTTGATGCTCAAGGTCAAGGAGGTGAAGGAGAGGAGGCAAATCAGTTTATTTTTTCTCTAGTCCTAGGTTTTGCTTGGTGAAAACCTATCTGTTCCAATCCCAGGAGGTGTAGGACTTTAACAGAGTGGTCCATGGATGCCTGGCACACGAACCTGTGGCACTGCAATCTTGAAAGCCTCAGCAGGACCTGTGGCCAAGCCATGTGGTCACAGAAATGGTGGGTTCCATGGGCAGCAGGACGGTGAATAGCAACAATACCCGCCTTTGAGGCAGGATATGAGCTTGTTCCTTAACTGGTCCCTTAGGTGGCAATCCTGATGGACTTAAGACCAAAGTCCCTCTTTTAACTTTTCTGGATCAAATATGTCCCTAAGCTTCTTGCAAATTAAGACATTTACCATCCTCCCAATTCATGCAGATTTAGCTCGATTTGGAAAAATTAAGAAATGTAATGATTCTTGCATCCGTGTATTGAGGAGGAAATTTATGCATATTGATGAGGAGCTAGTGGTTTTGTTCCCAACTTCCTCTCTCCATAGCTAAAATGGCTGATTCTTAACTAATGAGCAGCCATCATTGCAGGAGCCCAGCAGGAGTGATCATTAATAAGGGGACTAATGAGGGCAAGGTCACCATAATGCTATAAGGCAAGTGTAAGTCCAAATGCAAATTTTATTCAGAACCATTAGAGTTTGCCTATAAGCTGATGGGAATGATACACAGTAGCAAACAGCAGGCTGTCTGTGGTCTACCTCCTATAAATGCTGAAATGAAAAGTGGTTCGAGTCTTGTTGGTTCCAACTTTATCTGAAAAAACCCTTGTAATCAGCTAGAGGGCAGAGATGAAAACAAAATTTCCTGGTCTACTCAGGAATATTCCTAGGCTTCGGTCCTGGGTCTGGACTCACACCGCTGGCCTTGGTTAAACACCATCAACTTCTCTTTGTGCAGAGCAATGATGGGAAGCCCATCTGGAGCCATCTTTTCAGTAAGAGCTGGAAGTGGGAGAACAGGCTGGCCGACAGGCAGAAGCAGAATGGATTTTAGAGGCTCTGGCTGGGTGTCAGGAGCTGTGGAAAGCTTATGAACACTGGCCAAATGTCGTGAAGTCTTTCCAAAGAGAAGCTCTGACCGTGTTGGCTCAGTCTCTCATCTCTGTCTAACTGTCTTCTCAGCACCACCTCCAGGCCTCCGCTGGCAGTGGTGCTTTCTGGACTGACTGTTCCCATTAAATGAGTTTCAGATGATGATTTTCTGTCTAAATAGATGTGTGAGCCTTTCCCTAAGTTGCATCTCATTTTACTAACATCACTAATGTCTCTGCTTTCTTACATCCAATCAATCATTCCACTTCATCTGTGCATGTTATTAATGAGCCATTCATTCTTTTTTCCTTTTCTGTTAGTGGAGATGTCAAAATTCTGGCCAGACCTAATCCCAATGGCTTGCTGTTGGCTGCCCTGACAGCTCCCCGGGGAGGTAATTTTCATTCCTCTTTAGGCTTTCTCATTATCACGAGCCATTTTGAACACACTTTTTGTTAACTCATTTTTAGACACTTTTGCGGATGTTGTAGATATTGTTTACCCAAGATGCTCCTATTTCGGGGAGAAGGGACAGACGACAACTACACAACACACAGCACAACCATGAAGTTCCAGCTTCCACTAAGTGCGTAGTGCAGGCTCATTTGTTCCTTCACTTTTGTCTCTGGAAGAACAGAAAAAGGAACACACACCTTTTGCTTATAATTCTCTCTGCTTCTCACGCCCTTCTAGCATTCAAACTTGTCCCTTGATGTACCCTTTATACTTGGCAAAAGATTTAGATGGCAGTCTATACTTCTTGGCTAGCTCTCGGGATATTTTATGAATATTAGCAGGTTATTGAATGGCTGGGAATCTAACACAGGTGGCTAACATTTAACTTTGGACAAGCCAAAGGTTTCATGGCCAGAAGAGCAGGTATTATTTGCTGGGATTTATGTGCCTGCTTTTGCTCACTCACAGTATAAATATGGTTCTAATTTTGTGGCTTAAATCAAATGAAATAACCCATTAGATGAGGTTGATTTTCTTTTCTTTGTATTTCTAGGTTGCTAAATACAGAAAGTATTCGTATTCCTGGTAAGCCTCATCAACATCTTTCATCTTTGCCACGCAGTTTCCTTTGACATGACCACTGGGAGCACCTTTCTTCCCCCTATTAAAATACTTTTTTAAAAAAAGAAAGCTTGGTATAATGGAAGCTGAACATAAAATTATATCTGTGCTATCATTTTAACATGTAAAAATATGCATTTGGATCCAAACTGAAAGAAAAACAAAGGAAAGGCTTGACTTGAAGAATAACATTGGGTAAATTATTCTTTATTTTAGAATAATTTCCTTTAACATCATAAAAAAGTTATTTATGCAGTATATTCATATATTTTACATTGGGATATGTTCTTCCAAGACTATGAAAATCTGGGGTGTTTAAAAATCTCTTCGGGAGAAAACTTTTCCTTATGCTTAGAGTCCAAACTGAAAATGGATCTACCATTAGCCAAGTGCCGTGGCATTTCCTCAGCGAAATCATTAAACATTTCCTAGGCAATAAAATCTCTGATGCCACAGCACTAGCCCTGCATGCTGAGTATCACTGAGCTATATCATGTGATCAGTAGACCATTCCAGAATGTTGGGTGTTTCCTCCACAATGGCCTTTGTTTCCTCCACAATGGCCTTGTATGCATGTTCCAGTTATAGTGATGCTGACTCAAATTTGCCAAATAGTATAGTAAGTGTAATGTAGTTTACTGTAGAATAGTTTATATAAATAATATAATACAGCATATTATAGTATATTTAGTATAGTATATTGTGCTATAGTATAATATAGTGTAGTATAGCTTAGTATAATACAGTGCGGTGTAACATAGTATAGCATAGAGTGATATTACCATAGTACAGTGTAGTGTAGTATAGTGTACTATAGTCAAGAGCCACATAGCACCTGTATAGCATAGTAGTTAGAACAATGACTTTGGAATTACAGGCCTAGTTTTGAAATCTGGTTCTACCACATCTTGGGTGTATGATCTTGAGTATGCTTAATGTCTCTGAGCCCCAGTTTCATCATCTAAAAAATGAGGATTAAAAATCCTTGTGAGGATTAAGTTGCCATGAGGACCACGGAGGTAATTTAGGTAAGGCATAAGTGCTGACAGTTAATGAGCCCTCAACAAACACTCTCCTTTCACGTATCTCACAGACAGTGGGGTGAGCGACTGGTTTTCTATTTAAGAAAGGTGCCTTGCAAAAAGCATCAAATAAGACTTGGCTAGGACATCACTCAGGAGAGGTTGGGTAAATGCATATTCACTGCTTCCAAGACTAGAATCCCATCAAAAAAGAGCCCAAATAGCCAAAGCAATCCTAAGTAAAAAGAACAAATCTGGAGGCATCACATTACCTGACCTCAAATTATACCAACAAGGCTATAGGAACCAAAACGACATGGTACTGGTATAAAAGCAGACACATAGATCAGTGGAATAGAGAGCAGTTGCTATATTTCCAAAGATGGGAGATGTCTCTGGAAGGATATGGAGCTATTAAATCCTAGTACTGATAGAAACAGGAGAAGAGAGTTTTAGGGGGACTCATAAATGACAAACAGCTGTAGTCCTTTCTATCCGGGGTAAAGCAGTGCTAGCACCATAAACAAGTGTATCTGTTTTATTCTGTGGTTTTCTCTTCCAAGACATCCAAAAAGAAAAGATCTAGCTAGATGTGCCAGAAGATTTGTTCCCCAGAATAGTGAAATTAGGGAATGTGGAGAACCGGAATTGAAATGAAAGCCCACTGGAAAACACAGTGGAATGAAGCGCTTAAGACATTAGAGTATAAAAGTAAATTTGACATAAATATCTTTCCGACTCGACTACTCATAACCACTTGCCCCGCCTCACTCTGATCTGTTTCAGATCTCTAAGTGCTTGGCAAAGACGTTTGTATCCTTCTGCATAAGAATCTCTGTGTCCCCGCTGAAAAGAAAACTATACAGGAACACAGAACGGCCCAAGAACCTGCAGGTGATGGAGGTGAAAGAGCAAATATATGTGTTATAAATTTAAAGTCAATTTAATTTTTTAAAATGAGATGTAATGAAAAGCACATTGAAATAGGGATCAGAAAACTGAATTCAACCCCTGACTGATGTTTTCTAGGGTTGTCACCTCGGGAAAGTTTCCAAGTTGCTGTTTGCACACCTGTATCACAGAGAAAATACGATGGCCCTTTCCTGTTTTCTAGAGGAATTGTGATTATCAAATAAAACCACACATGTGAAACTACTTTGAAAAATGAAAATGATGTATGTTGGCCTCCTTATTCTTATTAAAGAGAAGAGGAGAGAGGCTGGGAAGGAAGTGAAAAGGGAAAGGGCTTTGGAATTAGACTTTGGTTTTCCTGGTAACTCTGCGTCTTCTCTTAGTAGCCTGGGTTTCTTCATATGTAAAAATGGATTTAATAAACACTACCTCGTCACTGTTTCAAGGATTATGGGAGATAATGTATATAAACTCACAGACATTTTTGTTTGCAGTTTCTAAGTCATGTCTCATGCCCCTGAATGTGTCAGGCCTTTATCTTAATCCTACAAGCACTTAAGTTTGGAAAGACCAAGTGACCAGCCCAGGTTTACTGAGCCACATACCAGCAGATGTGGAATTCTTGCTGGAATTTTCTTCATTGTATTATTTAACCAATTGGTATAGAAAGCTTAAGAATCCAAGACCTTGACAAATACCTGGTTTTGACTCAAATTATGATGACTATAGCACCCAAGAAAACAATGAAATACATCATACAATTGAACACTAAGACACTAGGAAGCTTATTTAGGGCCTTTTTCACTCATGCTGGACAATTTTCCTGCAGCCACATTTCAACTAAAATTCAAATCTACGCTTCTTTCTCTACAGATCAAATTTTCTAGTGTTAAAGCAATTGAATAATTTTTTTTTTTAAAGGGAAGAGATTGGTGTGATTCAAATGGCTTTAGATTTCCTAAGCAAACAAGCTATGTTTAAGAGCACTCTGAAGGGTTTGCGCCTCTTTAGGTGACTAGAACTGGGCCCTCTCTAGTTTTCCAATTAGAATGTTGTTTTCTGTATCCCACTGACAACCCCAAGTTCTGGACCTCCATCACTGTCACCAGTCGGGAGGGGAGGAAAAAGCTATCCCCCCCTTTTTATTACAATCATCTGTCACAGGAAGGTGATGCAGATGGTGAAGATGTGGACCCTGTCTTCTTTAACTTTTGGGTCTCCAGAACCTGCTATTCAGCACATGCTTAATAAATATTTGTTGGATACACAAACTAGTGAATTTTTTTTTCTCAAAAACCAATCACCCACTGCTATGGACTAAACTGTGTCCCTCTCCAAAATTTTGCATGCTGAAGCCCCAACCCCCAATGTGATTGTATTATTAGGGCTTTTAGGAAGTAATTAACATTAAATGAGGTTTCAAGGGTGGGGTCCAGTCTGAGAAGGTTGGTGGCCTTATAAGAAGGAAGAGGAAGAGGAAGAGGAAGAGCTCTCTCTCTCCACTTGCATGCACTAAGGAAAGGCCAAGTGAAGACGCAGTGAGAAGGCACAGTCTGCAAGCCAGGAAGAGAGGGAGCCCTCCCCAGAGCCCCTCCACTTTGGCACCTTGATCTTGGATTTCCAGCTTCCAGAACTGTGGGCAAATAAATATCTGTTGTATATAAACCAGTCTGTGGTATTTGGTTATGACAGTCCAAGCAGACTAAGATCAAAAGAAAAGACCGAAAGAATTGTCTCAAAAAAAAAAAGTACCTTTAGAATCATGCGCATATGTGCACATGTACACATTTATATTCATCCCCTATACAGAAAAATATAAATAAAGTAGATGTATTAAATATGTCAAGTGTGAATATAATGAAAACAAATCGCAAATACCACATACAAATTCATCTAGCAACGAGAATAGAACAAGTAAAATCCTTGGTCAGTATTTTGAAATATAGTTTGAACCAAACAGCCAAGAATATACTAAATCAGCAAAGTAACCCATCTGCTTCCTCCTGAGATAATTCATTTTTAATCACTAACAAGATGCAGGAATTTTTGCAGTTCAGGAATAACTACAAACTGAAACACATACACTCACACGTTTTAAAAAGAAACTTTCCACAGTGATTAAATGTTTAAGAGATACAAGTTAGTATTACCTCTATGTTCCTTAAAAAAACCTTCAAAGTATCTTTCTAATTCTTTCAGCACCATAGAGAGTCTCTTTCCTAGATATAATTTTCAACATTTTGCTGTATCATTTACATATGATAAAATGTACCTCCTTAAGTGTATAGTTCAATGAGTCTTGACCAATGTAAACCTCCATATATACCCCCATGTGTACATTGTCCACTCCAATCAAGACATAGAACATTTGCATCACCCTAAAATGTTCCCTCATGCCTGTTTGTATTCCACCTCACCCCACTGCTCCATAAAACCACTAGTCTGCTTTAGATCACCATAGATTAGTTTGGTCTCATCTAGAAATTCATACAAATGGAATCATGTATTATGTACTCAGTGTCTGTCTTCTTTCACTTTGCATACTGTTTTTAAAGTTCATCCCTCTTGTCATGTTTGTTAATGGTTGGTTCCACTTTATTGTTGAAAACTCTCTCTCTTTTCCCGTGGTGAAAATCCCCTTTTCCATCTACAATGATATATTTATTCATTTTTTTTATCCTCCCAAACACACAAAATTATTTTGGAATTATCTTGTAGTTCATTAACCTTGTTTGTATTATGTTTCTTACTATTTTCTAACCAAAAGGTGCAAATTTACAGTAAGTTAGGCTTTGCAAAGTGTTCTTAAAGGGCCACTGGAGTGGCAAAGATAGGATCAATGGGGTTCCATGACAACTGAGCTTGCCTTTGACGATTTTCTGGGGACAGGGACACTACAGTTTTCCTAAGTGGGGGTGCTTTGAGGTGTCCTTTGTTTGACTTCAGTGGCTTTATAGCACCACTATCATGTTACCATGTTGGCACCAAGCGTGTACACCTCTATAACAATAGCTTCCACTTTTTAAACTCTTACTCTGTGTGGCTAAGCTCTCTACACCTGATCTCATTTAATTCTTATAATGCCCTGCAAATCAAATCTTACTGAGCACCTAATGTCTACCAGCTGTCATGGAGCTTAACCTTCTGAAGGAGAAAGCAGACACTAAAGAGAATCTGATACTTGTTATGCTAAGACTGAGAACTAAGAAAACACCTCCCCAGAGGAGCTAATCTAATCTAAAGGGCAACTAAGAGCTTACTGAAGAAGAGATCTTTAAACTCTGCTGGGACTTGGAGAAACAATTAGGGCTAACCAAGCCAGAACAGGGGCTAAAGAGCATTCTAGTAACAGGTATGCAGGTTTGGAGGTGAGAAGGGCCCTGGCAGGTGGGAGGGATTGATAAATGTTTTTGTATATTTGCAATCCAGAACTGGAGGCAGACAGGGGCCAGTTGAGCCAAGCTGTGCCTGAGCCAAGCTCAGAACCACCGTGGAGAGAGACCTGCAGCCCTGGATAGTAAGAATGACTTTTTGAAAACTGTTCACTTTGGAACGGCAGTGATGTGTGGCAAGCACTCGTGTAATAAGATTCAGGCAGCTGAATTCCAGTGGGTTGGTAAGAGAATTCAGACAGGAAAAATTCCAGTGGTTTCTCAGGCTGATCATCTGGAATAACATAGTGTTCATTTATTTATGACGGTCACTATGTACATTAATTTATTATTGAAATAATAAAACAATAACTCAGAAAATAATTCTTAGTCTTACAGGTAGTCCTTCTGATGTAGAATTCACAGGGCATATGTAGCATGAGGAATGGTTTCTCCCATTACGTTGTCTTTAGCTAAAAAAGAGTTTAATTTTCAATGTTGTTAATCTGATACCATTCACAGACAATATTTTATTTTTACAAGCTAATGGTTACCACATAGAACACTTCTGTGTGCAAAATACAAGAAATTGATTAAAAAACAGTCAGTGATAAATATCTGTGTATTTTAAGGACAACATTTGCATTGAAAATTGCATCTCTGTTTTGCATTTATAGTAAGTGAATAAATCTAGTATTGTAAACTCTCAAGACAATTGCAGGGAGACCAAGACAAGTTTGGTCATTAATCATAGTGTGAAACTAGACACAGCAGAAAAAGAATTGAAATGAAACTCAGTGAATCAAAAATAATACATATTGGGAAATGTATAGATTTCCTGGTCAAGTGTTTCTGAACTTTGTCCCAACCTAGAACAGAAATGACGAAGAAACAATTATAACTTTCTTCTTAGAATGGATGGGTTAAGAATTAAGGGAATATGATTTATATGTTAAAATTGCTTTTAAAAATTAAGATGAGGTTTTCATTCACATTGATATAACTATAATTTTATAACTGCTGTAATATTATGGGGGTTAAAATATACACCAAGACTGAGAATTGGGCCTTTGACTTAATGACAGTTCCACAAAACATTTACCTTAAGGAATAAGTGCAATATAACAACAAAATGTTGGGTATGATTTCACATTATTGGAATAATAAGATATTAAAGAAATGGATTATTTAAAGATGCTTGTCATCAGTGAGCTACCAGTTTAATGGAAAATTTTTCTTTTTGTTGCTAGAATGGATTTCTAGTTGCAAATTTGGTTTTTAAAACCATCGTAAATATAGAAGACTTGCTTAATAAAATCAGAGTTATGTTGTTACAATCATATTTTCTTTGAAATTCCAGATATTTAAGCTATTAAACAAGTAACCCCAAAAGACTTTATTTCCTTATTGCTCCCATCCTTGATGTTCTCCGAGGCCCATGAAACCATCCCTCATCTTTTTCTTTTCACCTTTCATTGCAATAGTTTCTAGGGAGTGATGCTCGTTCCACTCTCCTCTGACAGACCACATGGACCCACCCTGGTCTCTCATCGGCCCCACCCTGGGAGGCAGCCACAGCACCCATGGCCTTCTCTCCTCTGTTCTCTGCCTTGTTGGTATGTTCTATACCCACTTGTAGGACTTTCTCAAATGGAGACCCTATAGAGGCTCATTTTACTCAATCTAAACTCTCATACCTGCCTTTGGGATCTCCACTACTGTCTTCTTTCTTCCTTTCACCAACATTCAGTACTTGTGCTCTGACAAAAATGAAATATTAGTTTCATGGATTCATTCAGAATACTTATGGAGGAAAAGGCAACATCATATGAGTGTTTGGAGAGCTCACT